CTCTCACAGTTGAAGTGTACCTCTGGTGCAAATTACTGACCTCTGTCATCATTTTAAGTGGGGGAACTTGCACAATCGGTGGCTGACTAAATACTTTTTTTGCCCCACTGTATGTCGCTTCACTCCAGTAGAAAGGCAGAACTAGGCTGTTTGTATAGTAACGCTAGAGGTTGAATCTTTGGACCTATTTTATACAGAAGCTACATAAATACCTTTATCCTACCAAAACTCTAGATCAGTGTGCACATACTCCACTATGTCACCCCACACACAACATGCTGTGATGCTGTCTCATTATACCAACTCTGCACCCCGGACAGGCAACCCTGTCACACAATAAAGAAAGACTCAGTTGCTCTGAACTTCAGTGTGTAAATTCTGTTCATCACTATAGCCACACCAGAGACTGATAGAAAGCTAATAAATATATTAAAGGGCCATGTTCAGTTTGAAATCCGTATTTTTATGCGTGGCCTCTGCTTGAAGCAACTGTTGTTGGGATTTGGAAAATATTTAAATATAAGTGAATTGAAATGAACTGAATCACTAGATTATAAATTGGCTATTGTTGTGACAACATGAATAGTTTGCCCGTCTCTCTGCGTTGGCCCTGTGACAGACTGGCAACCTGTCCTGGGTTTATCCTGTTTCTCTGTTCATTGTTCTTCTGATTGGCTGTTGCTCCTGAAGAGAAAGTTTGAAAAGCAGATGTGCGGGGATTCTGTGCCAGATGTGTCTGCCTGAAATAACCACATGGTTTCATTCTTTTAAACTTTGGGTGTACTCTATGTGATACCCCTGAGTTTAGATCAGAGGACTGAAGCTGCATGTGGGATCAATGTAAAATTTTGTTTTTATTGTAAGTTACTTTGATTTTAAATTACAGTTTGGTTAGGACTACAGCAAGTTGACACAAACACTCCTGGGATGGGAAAAGACCCTGGTTAGTACTATCCATCACATGTCACAAAGCTCCAGTCTCTAAATGTGCAGGTTGCTGAGTTCCACCCTTTACCCCGGTTATGACACCAGTGCACATTATAAAGGTTTTTAGATCTCTACAGAGATGGTTATTTGGGTTCAAGTCTTGACTTGCATACACAGAGTGGACCTGAAGCCACTCCTTTGTTGTCTCAGCTCTGTGCTTAGGATTGTTATCCTGTTGGAAGATGACCCTTCGCTGCAGTTCGATGTCCACAGTGCTCTGGAGCAGATTATCATCAAGGACTGTAGATTCATTTTTCCTTTGACCTTGTGTAACACCCCCTTCAACACTTGGGATACAGATTTAAATGGTTACCTGTGTGTTGGGCCAATAGCTGAGGTTCGACTACTGGAGCAGAGTGGATGACTAATGAAACGCTCAGAGAACTTGGTTTGATCAGTTTGTATTCACAATTAAAGAATCTCACATACATACAATGAAAACAATAACAGTACATGAAAGGAAAAATTGGGCCCAAGTCACGGAAAATAATAAACAAAACACACACACCCCCGGGGGATTTGACTCAGTCTCTCTCTTGTGTCAGCCGACACCCTTAAGTGTGAGTCCAGCAATGAGGATTCTCCTTGCAGGATGCGCAAAGGAGGAATGAAGTGCAAATCTGTCCTACCACTTAAGTAGAGTTTGTACAGTTCACGGTTCGTCCAAAGAATTTAGTTCTCTTCTTAAAACAATCATCTCAAGGATCCTGGAAGGGTGGCTCGCCATCTTTGGACTGGATCATCACTGAACTGTACTCCCAAGTAAAAAACCTGACCTGTATAACACAGTCAGAATAACATTCAAAAATCTATATTTAGTCATTTATACATATATCCTTTCTTATGTTTCGTTCATACATACTAACAAATTTGCATTTTACCTTTCCAGTACACAGAAAGAATGACAGAATATTCCAAAACAGACAATGATAACTTCTTACCAAAGTAACCAATAAAATGGGCTCTCCTGGAGCTTTAAAATGGCGATGGTGCAGCGTTGTAGCACAACTACAAAGAAACATAACCCCATTTTCTTTAAACTGTATTCATCTCACAATGAACACAATTAAGGATTGATATAGGAACATATCAACATCTACAGCATACATATAACTTACAATCTTTACATGCATCGTCATAAGAAGCT